AACGAGGATTCAGACACGCCTGTGGTAACCACTGAAAGTCCACGCACGCCAAACTTCTGCCAAGCTAAGGCTGACGTTGCGAAACGCATGATCGACTTTGCCCTACGGTTGATGGATGTCGGCAGCAAACGCCTAGCGGACGGTGGGTCCCCTGACAATTAATAAGCATACCTTATCTACTATCGATATATAAGTAGGCACGTATTATTCCCTTCAGAGTCCGAACCAAAAGTATGCAGTGGTCCGTCACCTCCGTACGGCAGCATGTTCCAGCTTTGTACCGACAGGGCCCTCAACGAGGCATACAGCGGCTCGGCTTGCGTGGCAGATGACAAAAAGGAGTCACATCACCACAAAGCAATCGAAACGCTCTCTACACCGCCCAAAGAATACGCCGCAGCGGCGTATCTCTTCCGGTGGATTGGTAGACTTCTGCCTGTGGCAACGGCCTTCTACACTATGGATGATCACTGTACGGAGGCCGTTGAGTTGTCTTGCTGCCACGCTCGTGCCTACAGCTATATAGCAATTTACGAGAGCGATCCTACTCGACAGGTTTGCACATTGACGTTTTGTTTTCAAAAATTCTTTCCTGATTGCAATTTATGTGTTTTCGGAAAATAAGACCTCAAACCCAAGTAGTAAGGAGAGCCAGAAAAAGGGCTGATCAGTCTCAGTAATTCATGTAGAAAATGTCCCGAATTACTGGCCTTTTAGGCGTGACACTCCCAGCAGCCGAAATTTGCTCATGGTTTTTAGTGGGAACCGCCGCTATTTGGCTGGCATTGACTTGTGTGTGCGTTTTACTCTGACGAGAAAGACTAATTAGGCTTTGGTCCCTCGCGCCATATTCTCGTTCTACTCTAGTGTGAAGACAACTTTGAAGAAGAAGAAGAAGAAGAAAGAAGAAGAAGAAGAAGAAGAAGAAGAGGGAGAAGAAGAAGAAGAAGAAAGAAGAAAAGAAGAAGAGGAAGAAGAAGAAAAAGAAGAAGAAGAAAGAAGACAAAGAAGAAGAAGAAGGAGACACGATCGCTGGGACGAGAGCTTTATTAGCCTGGCGTTTCGGATTCCTGTTCGAATCCATCATCAGAGACAAAAGCACTTGGTGTGATGACTGTTTTAATCGCCGACATTCACGCCGTTAATTGTTGAAATTTCTTCACGTGTGTTGGATGTTGATGTGATGACCGCTCGACCATCTGACCCACCGACCCTGGCGTTGGGAACACTGTTCACCTCTGCGGTCCCCGCGTGGCCTATTAACCCGCCAAGACGAAGTTTCATCACAGAGTATGGAAGGGGAAGGGAGTTACACCTGTTAATAGACTGGGGGCCAGTGAACCATGACTAAATCAGCTCGCGGCTCACGCGGTTGTCACCTCTAGCGAGAATTTTGGTCTCGCCGAATTTGAATGTGTGCCTGGATCTCGTCGAATGGGCCGCGACCTGAGAGTTGGCATCATTCCTTCGCACTGCTGCAGCGTGTTTGGCCATGCGCGTCCGATGCAGTCTTCCGGTTTCTCCGACGAAGTTGCTTTGTCCACAACTGCTCCAGATCCGGCAAACGACTCTAGACGTTTCTTGCCGTAGCAGTGGATCTTTCGGTTCCATTACCTGACGCCTGATGGTTGACTCCGGTCTGTGTGCAACTCCAGCCGTGACTCGCAAACATCGCCTACAGTCTATGTCACCTTCTCCCTGACCCAATGACCGTAACACGTCGACCTCGTCATGCGGGTGGCATGGGAACGATGAGTGCCAATAACCCCTAAGACACTTATAAACCCTTTGAACGTCTCATATTTTCAACATATATGAGCCTGATGACAAGTTACCGAAAACGTGCGTTCGCCAACTTGAGGGTAAGGGTTAAGAATATGCACAGAGTAAGGAGAAACCTGGAGAACTGCCTTCAATATTTTTAAAAGCAGGTGTTGTTCAATCGAGTTCGTGGTCCGCTCTTCGTCGGCAAGCTGACATTCACTAATCTGTACTGCCGCGAGCAGTCGATGCCGCTGAAATGTCGTAATTGGTTCATTGTCCGGCATCCCCCACATGTAATTATTAAATAACAGGAAAGCTCATTTCTAAAAAGAGGTTCGGCACAGAGGGCAGTTGGGTAGCAAAAAAATACTCGAAAATTGCTAGATGGAATGCATACGTCTGCCAGTATAGCAGGAGTGTTAAAACGCTGGTGAATTTGTTAATCAGCAATTAGAATTTTCTCATCCCCCTCGTATACTTAATTCTTGCCAACTGGACGTTCAAAATGCTTGGAATTTCTCTCTATTGTTACGTTCTGTTTGGTTGTTCAACAAGCCGAACAAGCTGCTTCTTATGTACTTTTTGTTCTCAAAATCCGTACCTTGTTTTTGCAAGCCCTTTCTGCATATAGAAATTGGCTCTCATAAGGCTTTCTGTTGAAGGTGCTATGTTCTTGCCGCAACGCCTAGCTGGTAGCCCGCTGTACAATTATCCGCAATCGGATTCCCAAATGAAAACTCAACAGCGAGGGTTGATGAACAAGAAGTCTATTGCTGAGTCCTACCAGTGAAAATCCGACAATAAAATGTACACTCAGAGATGTCCAAATGAGGAAGTAGGCTGGTTGACTACCAGAGCTGTTTGTTTTTTGTTCTGAACCTTCAGACTCGTTCAGGAGTCCACCGTCAGAAATGTCCAAGGTCGACCCCGAATTGAGCCAATCAGATCATGCCCTTGAGTTGTTAATATGTCGACTGGACTTTTGATTCATCTGAATGGCTGACTGCCCCTCCAGTTCTGCCGGCGGCTGGCCCGATGTCGACACTCATACGCCGTGTGGACTGATCGATAGGATGGCGTGTGAGCGCGTCGTTAGGGAGGCCTGGGAAGGAGTTGGCTCCACCTAACAGAAGGCACCTAGCATTACAGGTCCTGTTTGCGTAAAGGAGTCAGTTGACGTGAGCTAGAATAAAGAACCGCAAAGAACCCCACTTTGCCTCCGAGTAACGTTAGGGGGCTTGGCTTTGACCGGGCCTGTCACTTAAGTGTTTATTTGCAACTCATTTTAGGAAGCCTCTAACCTTTGCTTAGAAATGTGCTCGTTTGTTTGGCCTGCGGATGGTGCCTAATTTTGTCCTTTTTGTCGCATTCAGAGCTGCATGCAGAAACGCAGGACGGATATACTGGAGGGCCTACTGGATCGACTTAACCCCCAGCACTACATGGCCCTACGACGTCAGATCATGTTCGACCTGGCTGATGCCCTCAGCATTCACAGTGCTCTCAAGGTCCAAAAGACGGGGGTGAGGCTGCTACTTCTCCCTTTTTTTACGCCCTCTGGGACCAAGTCGGCGTGGTTGACTTGCCGCAGCACCGACTGAAAATATATATTGTCTTCCTACTTAAACCATTTGAGTAGGCTGTAGATTTATGGTTCACATTCTTATGCGCAACCACCTCACCCGCTGGTGCAAGCGGCTGAATTCAGTCAATTCTAGGAAACATCACAGTTGGCTTACAATAGCTAAAGAACCAAAAATGGCCGTTTTAATTTTACCTGTCTTTAGGAGAATACGAAGGCACGATCACTGGGACGGTAGATTTATTGGCCTTAGCTTTCGAACTCGAACTGGAGTTCATCATCAGAGACTGCTATATTACAGCAACGTGTGAACATTTATATCGTTGGGCCGTAAGGGGAGGGGAACTACATCTGTGGCTAGGTCTGGTTTGTGCCGCCTGGTCCACTATGGTCCCCCGACGTGGTGACGCCGTTTGTACTTCGCGGCGATGTGGGCTGCGCCACCTGGCTGCGTGGGCGGAGTGCGTGATAACACGCAGGCAAATCAATGTGTCTATTGATAGACTTGGTGTCCGACACCCACACCTCCAACAGTTCTCGTCCAGTCTTGTTGCCGGCTCGCGCCAATATCCGCGTGTTGGCGAAGTCGAACTCATGGCCTTCCTCCAGCGTATGAGTGGCGACTTGAGATAGTGGGTCGTCTCTTCGAACGGCCCGTTGGTGTTCAAGTATCCGTGAGCTGAGACGCCGTCCTCTTTGGCCTGTGTAGTGGCGAGGACGGTTATGACAGGGGATTTGATAGACTACGCCCGACTGCTCACCTGCGTCCAGCCGATCCTTCATTTTTATGATCCTGCTACGCATGGTAGCCGCCGGATGCTGAGCGATGCCCACGCCTAACTCTGACACAATGCGTTCTGTAGCCTTGGACACATTCTTTATGTACGGTAGGGAGTGCCAAATTGTTGGTCTCTCTTCCGTTTGTCCGTCATGGGTAGGTGCGTATGCAGCGACTGCTGAAACTATTTGAGTAGCCGTTCCTTCTTTCGGGCTCGCTACAGTGCGTTTTTACCCGGTCGAAAAGCGTCCTCACACAACCCCGTTTGTGCACCAATGGGTGGTTTCTATGATAGTTAAGGACCTGGGTTGTATTGGTTGCCTTTCTGTACACTGTAGTGTTGAGTTCACCGTCAGGTGTGCGCGTGAGGAGCACGTCCAGGAAGGGTAGTTTCTCGTCCTCCTAGTCTTTTCTTGTAACCTGAATGTCGGGGAATATGCTGTTAAGTAAATCTTGAAAGCCCGATAGCTTGTCCTTTTCAATAATGACGAATGTATCGTCCACGTATCGGCACCAAAACGCAGGTTTGCAGTGGCTGAAGGCAACCTTTTCCAGCTCTTGTAGGGCCAATTCCGCAACTAGGCTGGATATTGGGGAACCCATGGGTGTTCTTTTGATTTGTTCGTATGTTCTGCCATCGAAGGTGAAAAAGGTTCGCTGGCATAATGCAAAGAGCTGTATTAGGTGCTGGATCTTTAGGGGCCCTGTCGTTTGGTCGTACTTTTCTTCGAGGCGTTTGCGTAGCATGTCGCGCGCCAAGTCTGGTGGGATGGACGTGAAAAGTGAGACAACGTCGAAAGATGCCATGATTTGGTCGGGTCGAATAGTTTTTCCCCGAGTGTCGTCAAGGAATTGGGAGGCCGAATTGACTGACGTCACAGAACCCTCTCGGAGAAAATTGAGTTTTCGGGACATCCGTTTGGCTAGATTGTATGTGGGGCTGCCTTTCAGGGCAACGATTGACCGCAGAGGAACGTTTGGTTTGTTGTCTTTGTTGACGGGGGTGAGGCTGCTATTTCTCCTTTTTTACGCCCTCTGGGGCCAAGTCGGCGTGGTTGGCTTGCCGCAGCACCGACTAAAAATATATCTTGTCCTCCTACTTAAACCATTTGAGTAGGCTGTAGATTTGTGGTTCAATCTTATGCGCGACCACCTCACCTGCTGGTTCAAGCGGCTGAATGCAGTCGATTCTAGGAAACATCACAGTTGACTTACAATAGCTAAAGACCCAAAAATGGCTGCTTTGGTTTTACCTATCTTTGTTGTCATCTATTCTACATTTGTTATAGTGCCTTATGAGACCGTCAGCGAAACCTCGAGATTGCTTTTCTAGTCACAAGAGGACGAACATGTTCCATGCTGTAATGATCTCGGTGAACACCCCGTCTTCACGCACCTGAGCCCGGTAGCAAGACAGAGTCAGAACGACCGGAGGTGGGCTCGGACGCAGTGACCGACAAAGCTAACCGACCTGCCTACGCGTGCCACACGACGCCGCAGTGTTGGAGAAGGATACACTATCGCTGGGACAACAGCTTTATTAGCCTGACGTTTCGGATTCCTACTGGAATCCATCATCAGAGACAAAAAAGCAGGAACGGGTAGTTGTTGCACAAGGGGCTGCGGTATTTATAGGATGCAGTAGCCATGCTACCGCATACCTATGAATATTCACGGCTCCCCCCCCCTTCATCCGGGATCGTCGCACTTGGTGTGCTAATTGTTTGATGGCCGGCATTCGCGTCGTTAATTGCTGCAATTTCATCAATTGCGTTGGATGTTGGTGTGATGATTGCTCGACCATCTGACGCACTGACCCTGGTGTTGGGACGTGTTCACCTGTGCACTTCCCGCGTGGCTCATTACTCCGCCTAAGCAAATTCCCAGCACGGAGTATGGAAGGGGAAGATTGTTGCACTTGTTAATGGACTGGGTGCCAGAAAACAATGACTGAGGCAGCTCCCGGCTCACGCGGTTGTTACCTCTTGCGAGAATTTCAACCTAGTCGAATTTGAACGGGTGGCCGGATCTCGTCGAATGAGCCGCAACTTGAGAGCTGGCGTCATTTCTCCGCACCGCTGCAGCGTGTTCGGCCATTCTCGTTCGGAGCTGTCTTCCAGTTTCTCCGATGTAGTTGCTTTGTTCGCAACTGCACCAGATCCGATAAACGACTCCAGACGTCTCTTGTCGTGGCAGTGGGTCAGGCCAATAAAGCTGTTGTCCCAGCGATCGTGTCTTCTTCTCCATGACTGCCTCCGGGGACTCGTGTCTTCGCTTCTATTGGCAGTATACCAGTGTTTTCATAGAACGAAAGCGGGAGACTCAAGTCTGATATGAGTGTGATTGCCACGTAGGTCACATTAAGAAGCAGCCACGGGGTCTGATTTTCAGTCCTCGAAGCAGTCGCTCCGCACTTACGCACACAGTGCTGACAACGACGAGCGAGGCAGCCTTCCATGCCACGAATTATTGCCCACCGCGATAGTTTCAAAACGTGTCCGATTTATTATGAATGTGCTGTGAGAATGAGTTTACCAGAGTCGACATCATTTCCTCTCTCCTCTCGCCTGTGCACCGGTTGACTATTCGAGCCGATCATTAATCCAACGCGGCGATTGGGCCAGTGCCTGACAAAGCTGCGGGGGTTCGTCTACGTGCGCGCCACACACATACAACCTGCCCAGGCACAAGTTTGCACCGAAGGGCTTGCTTCTCGTTGACATGGGCGGTTTGTGTCCGGTCTATGTGTCGGAGGTTGTGAGATGGGTTCTTGTGCAGTGTATGAATTAGTGGTATGAGGTTTTCGCCCCCCTCAAACGCGCCACGCAGGACATGCGCTGGACCATCACGGGATCTAAATCTGAATCTGGCCGGAGTTATTGGAAATGTGCACCAATAACAAGTTTTAGCATTTGGAGTGTGACGATACGCCAAGGCTCAGGCTCACGCCGCGCCAGTTGGGATCTTAACCGCCCCAATTTTTTCTGCTGTGCAAAATTCTGGTGAGTGTGCTTTTTGGACCAGGGAGGGCGGGGTGTGATGGTAAGCCTAGTTGCGGGTTTTCGTCATACCAGCCACGTACGCTCTCGTGTCTGGTCTTCCTGACTCTGTCTGGCATCGAGTCTACAGTGCGTGACCGATTTCATGAAATGTTAGCAAAAATTCTCGAATGCGTTTCCGATTAGGAAGGATTACTTAAGTAGGCTTGTTATACTGATTATCATGAAGCATAACCCTATAACATTTCGGACTCGCCAGGATGTCGGCCTTTGAATGCCCTTCTTTTTGACCTCCTGCAGAAACCGCACTCGGTGAAAGATGACTACTTCATTAGCATGCATTTTTCCTACTGATTTTCGATGGTCTTATAAATTCAAATATATTTTACAGAAAACGCGCACAAAACTATACTTTCTTTTACTCATTTGATAGAACATTAAATTATCTTTATATCTTATACCCAAAAATGTATATTTAGGTTTTAAAAAAGTTTCCCAATTTCCGAATATTTTTCAGCCTGATTTTTGCCATTGCATTGACGTTTAACAATTTCAGCCAACAAGGTGCATGCTTTCCGTGTAAGGAAACTCATATATTCCCCTATGTCTTTAAAAAGATACCACACAGAGTTCATGAAATTTTGCAATGGATCCGGACTGTGTTGTACATTTCATGAGGAGCATTAGTAAACGGACATGTGCGGTGTTGCACGCAATGACAACGCGCGGCCTTAAAAATCTAATAATTAGAAACTTTTTAAAAACCTAAATACACACTTTCTTTGGACATAAAATCTGAAGACAATGTGATTTCCTTCCAAATGAGCAAAAGAAAGCATATTTTGTGCATGTTTTCTGTAAAATATATTTGAATTTATAAGACCATCGAAAATCAGTAGGAAAGATGCATGCTAATGAAGTAGTCATCTTTCACTGAGTGCGGTTTCTGCAGGAGGTCAAAAAGAAGTGCATTCAAAAGCCGACATCCTGGCGAGTCCGAAATGTTATAGGATTATGCTGCATGATAATCAGTTTAACAACCCCTTCATAATCGGAAACGCATTTCAGAATTTTGGCCAACAATTCATGAGATCGGTCACGCACTGTATGTGCGGGAGAAGCAGCGAATGCTTTTGATGGCGCACAAGTCTACCATCAATTTTAACGAACTCGCGCGCAATTCGCCGTCCCTACCCTCACTCTGCTCTGAAGCACACCGTGGGCGCATTCAAAAACGACGGTTGAAATTATCGGGCTGAGGTGTAGTTGTGGGGTGCGGTCTGCGGCGTTTTCATGAAAGCGCACATCTCCGAATAGGCCCTTGCGATGACAAAAGTCCTTGGGCAGCGTGAGAACGTGAGGAAGGCACGATGGGTGTATGTTTGGACTCCCGGCTTTGGAATGTCGGCTATGTTTGATGTTTCGACATGGTGGCGAATTTCGCCATAGTGAATGCGTATGTAGCCGAGAATATTCATGTGGTGTTTAAATGTCCCGGTGCATTGTGGGAGGCGAGGCGCGTGCGATGGATGTACGTCTGCCTTCCAGGCACTGGTTCAGCGGTGTCGGTGCAATTGATTCGCCAAAGGACCGACTTGTAAATGCGTGAAGAGATGGTGCTGTCGCAATGTGCGGACTGATTGGGATCGAGTTTGCGTCACCGTAGTTGGGGACGATGTTAGTGATTGTAATGGAGGTCTTAGTGGGTGGTAGAGCGCCGGGAGTGCTCTCACTGGTGGTGGACTTGGCGGTCGGTGTCGTGATGATGATGATGATGATGATGATGAGGGACGTTTGAGGCGGCAGCTAGTGGCATAACCTTGGGGCAGCCATATTCTCGTTTTGCTTGTTTTCCGATATAGTCAGCATTCCAGCCTCCACTCAGACCCTTATTTTGCCCCATCCTCCCTCAGCAATCCGTTCAGATGTCTATGGAGGCTAGAAATCGCGTCGCTAAGAAGTCTAATGAACTGGCTCAGCGCGCCATAGACGTGTACAAACGGTTCCTGCAGTCCTTCAACAAACCTTTGGACAACTCAGAACCCGAATTTTACGAGGACTCATACTTGCGGCCTGTGCTGGTGGGTGCTACTATCAAGTGCCTTCATGCCCTTTTATGTTAACCTACCTGGTCCATGAACGGTTCAGTGGTGGTCGACAGAGCCAATCATCTGTTGAGCCCTACTACTAGCAGTTCGACCGTCGCATCCGATGATGTCCACCGTGTGCTCCACAGCATGATGAAGCAGGCACGGTGACTTGCGCCGAGTCTATCGCACTCTCCTTTTCTCCCCTACCTGAGCCCGGTGTCAAGAGAGAGTCAAGAACGCGGGAGGCGGAGGGAGTCGCAGGTGGATGGCGCGGCCGAGTCCGCACCTTGGCGCTCTGATCCAGACCCTCAGGTCCACACAATAATTGAGCAGGATTTTAACCGACAACAAGAACAACACTACGACGGGTCGGAAGGAGGAGGGTGACTGGGCAGTCATGCTCACGATCTGTATACCCAGCGGGAGCGCAAGCGCATCTACCAGGTGTAGATGAACTGCCAGTACATATCAGGCTGTGCGGGCCATGGTTTCCTGATCCTGGCATAGTAGATGCTTACAGATCTTTGACCTACTACTACTACTACTACTACTACTACTACTACTACTACTACTACTACTACTACTACTACTACTACTACTACTACTACTACTACTACTACTACTACCACTACTACCACTACTACCACTACTACTACTACTACTACTACTACTACTACTACTACTACTACCACTGCCACCATCATTTATCGTGCAGCGCCTGTGGGCGGACCATTGGATTTGGCCACCGGGAAATCTCTCTCCTTCCGATTCCTACATATGAGCCCTCCCCCTTTGTTGGAAGTCTCCGTGGTCTAGGCTACCAAGAAACAGTAACCGCCATCACCACCGCCACCGTGTGGAATGGTGACACACCTGACGACCTGAGGCAGATATGCTGCCGGTCTTCCCGGGTCCAGATCCTGGTGTGTGACAAGACTGCCATCGGTCAGACGCCCCACTATGTTCTGTCGACTCGATACCCACTTGAGCATCAAATTGGACCTCTAACCGTTTCTTTTTGGGCCCTGTATCCTGTGGTGCATGTACAGTCAGTCTGTAGTAGAGCCCCAAGGTTTGTGAGCATCTGTTGTGCCATGGTCAGCAAACCATGGCCCTCATCAGTCTGGTGTGCGCTGGCATTTCTCTGGTATCCGATTTTCTGGCGGTAGATGCGCCTACGCTCCCGCTGGATATATAGGTCGGCTGCATGTCTACCCAGTCATTCACGTCCCTTCTGTTGTTGTTAGTCAAAATTCTGGTCAAGTGTTTGTTCTGGATCAGGGGATGTGCGTATTGGAACGCCAAGGTTCGGGCTCCACCGCGCCGTCCATTTGCACCCTATCCCCCGCCGGTCTTTCGACTGTGTCTTAGCACCGTGTCCAGGTGAGGAGAGCGTGCGGTAGACGCTGCGCAAGTCACGCGCAAGTTGCCATGCCTGCTTCACCTTGCTTTGGAGCACACGGTGGACATCGTCGGGTGCGACCTCCGAGCTATGATGTCTGTAACAGCCTTTCTCAGTGTCTTCTTTTTCTTTCAAGCTGGCTTACTTCTACTCGGCACGTCTGTACTCAAAGATGCTGAAGGTCACGCCGAAGGCACGCTCAGCCGCCCTCACCCGTGCCCTCGAGAACTACCAAATCATGGTGCGCATTGCCGACCGACATATAGCGGCCAAACCGGAACTGGCCGACAAAGTGGGCTGCGAGGTGGAAATGGCGCGTGAAATGATTCAGCTTTTGCCTGCGCAGATTTCCCAGATTGTTGAAAACGGTAGAAGCGCCGTCTGACCTTCGCGCGCGCGCTCTTTGGACTTCTGTGATGTACCCACCTTCTCTTGTTTCCGTCCCTCTTCTTCAATGCTTTGGCATTTGCCGCGTCTTATGTTTTTTTTTCTTAATTCCTTAAATTGCTGAATAGTTTACTTTGACACTGCTTTTATGTGTATTTAGATCTTTCCGGCTGTTGTAATTTTTCACTTCTCCGGTCTCTTGGGTGGGACCGTTTTGCTCAGAACTGTTTATTTTTGTCGGATTAAAGTTGTATCCTTACTGGGCAATTCATTTGCTAAAGGCTACGATGACCACCCTCTGACCCCCTGGGGAGCACTGATGTGGAAAATGCGTGCGCCATCGATATCGTTTGTCCATCCCAACGTTATTTTACAGCAATAAGTAGACTAGGTCCGGAAAATCTGCGATAAGTTAGGGGGTTGTGGGTAGTCTCGCATGAAGCCCCCGTCCACGCCTGCCACAACACGGCCAGTTCTTTTTCCACATCCATAAGAGGCATTTCATTCAGAGTCGTCATCGGTAGAAAGACCAGGGAAGTCACACCCATGTGCTGTTGCTCGTTAGTCGAAACATCTATCGGAGCCCGATGGCCGCATTAGGAACTGTTTATTGGACCCACAAAGGGGATGGGGGTGTCGAATGGGGCTATCGAGGACTAATCACTTTTCTCGACTAGCCAACTGGTGGGATTGTTAATCCCCAAAGTGATTAACCCCACCGAGAAGTAGGCGTGCCTGTGGTCGTCGGAATTGCAGATAGTTAGATCATTTCAACTCTAGACGTAGTTGTAGAGGGGCCCGACGTTTGTTTCAGGAGACAAATTGTTAATTTTTGTGTTTACAAGCCGCCCAAAGCACAGGTTTCTGAGGCGACTCGCCTTAAAATGGGGTTTTATGAAAGGGCTGCCACCCTAGGACATTTACGGGGCCTACAATTGACCACGGCGGTAGCGTGCCCGCATGAAAGGAACAATGAGCTGTTTATTTCCTAGATTATTTCTGCGAGGCACATGGCCGTTAACGACTAGTTTACTCCTGAATGCTTTTTAATGCAGGCACCCGTAGTCTTAGCCTTCTACTTATAGGATTAACAGCCCTCTACGCAAACAAGTGGGAGATTTGGCAGAAAAACTGATCGAAACATTGATGAACGAACTGGGAGTCTGTAAATGTCGAGAATAAGGGCTGTGGGGCCTGCCTTTAGCGGATAAACGGTGAAAATACTCATGCGCGGCAATCATCCGGCCAAATCCCGAGTTGTAAATGAGAACAGAAGTCACCAGTGCGAGGTGTTTGCTGTCCTGTCGGGCGGTAATGGCCGCTGGCCGGGCCGCGACAGGTGCTGACGGTCTTGAAGAAGGAGACACGATGGCTGCTTCCTGGGACTCGTCTCTTCGTTTCTATTGTCCTGACGGTGTCAGCTCGTACCTGGGAGAGAGTTGAACTAGTGGTGGCAGCTGCTTTTTTGATCTTGTGGGGCAAGTTCGAGTGTTGTTCGGCTGGTGTGTGTCGCATTTGTCGAGGGATGATGTGTGTAGTGAATGAGGCTGCGCCAGCCATTTGCGGCCTCACCCACCTACGACCTTGACTGTCTTGACACCGGGCCCCCGTGGGGGGAGGGGGGGGGATAGGGCGCGGTAGATGCTGCGCAAGTCGTCGTCCCTGCTCTCGTCCTACTGTAGAGCAGGCAGTGGACATTTTCGAAATTGACGGTCAAACTGTCATGTTGCGTTCGCCGTGGGATGCTGCGTTTAAGTGGATGCACGCATGTTCAAGCTGAACTCGATCGAGTGGCTGCAGATCAGCGTTTCTGAAACCGCTCGCCGACAAGATGAGTGGCCTTGATACAACAGGGTCTTGAACAAGAACGTCAGATGTCCTAATGATGGTACTTGGTACCGCCGCCGTCTCCACCCTCACTCCTAGATCCCTCATGGCTCTCTGACATTGGCCTTAGACCGGAACCATCCACATAGGTACTTATTAGCATATCAGTAGGCACTATAGTACTTATTACGTCCATCCCTTCGGCGCTTACTATCACCATATCCTCCTCCACCACCAACATCATGCCTTACGGTAAAACGAATTTCCCGCACAGTTCTCTTCTCCCGGAGACACGTAATGGTCCACGTTATTTCAGAACTCTTTCGCTGTCAGGCGAACCACGAAGGGTAATTCTTAATGCTATGTGCGACGAGGGCTTGTCGGGGTGGGATTCTCGCCAGCACGAGGTTTCCGAAATTAAGCCGTGTAAAACAGGATCTAGGCAACCCTTTTGGAGGCCAGAATGTACACACAGCTCAGCAGACATTGACGGCTAGTTTTCTCACCACAGTTTAAGCCGTCAGCCTCAGCGACGCGTCTATGGCTGCGCCTGAACTTTGTGCGGCTGCGACCAATCGATGAAGACGATGAAGAATCGGTCGGCGTTGCGATGTCAGTGAGACGGAGACCGAGCTACGCGAACGCATCGATTGACAGACGTGCTGGGTGACACGGATTAGCAGTCGTGCTGACACCCGTGAGAGTGAACTGTCGCAGATTTGGATAGGTGGCTGTGCGGTTAATTCCTTGGGGCGGGGGGAATTAGGGCGGTTCTTAGGGTCGGGGCCAGTATTGCAGTTTTTTGGATTAAGGTTGAAGTTAGGACACGAGGGTAGGTACCTCTTGGAACAGCAACAAGTCACTTGTAGTACAGAGATACTTATTCCTGTGTCCAATCTAGACTTGCCGGGATAGACCCCCTTCTTTTGTTATACAAACATCTACGTAGGATAACTTAATCCTCCTGGACGTGAGAGCTAACGTCACCTGGGATGGAGGACCCAGTTAACATGGGCTGCTGTTATCATGTTAGTGAAGGACCCCGTAGTTAGGGCTTCTGTTGCGAAAGTTCCAGACCTAAATGTTAGGTTCACAATTTAAAGATTATTATATACATATGCATATGCTTTGTTTTCCCCGAAGAATTTCGAACAAGGCAAAGGCGACGAAGCAAGCAGAATTTATTGAGATCATTAAATTTCGTGACCTCTTATTCAACTGCACACGATCGTTGAGTATTTATAAGGTGAACTGTTCAATCAGAGATAGGCCTAGAGGGATGAAACATGATAGGTAAATAAAACATAGAAAGTTGGTCTGATATACGTAATGCAAACTCGCTTGTCATCAGGCCAGTACAGTTATATGGGACGGGGTACACTGAGTGAGAAAAAAATCGATAAAAGTCAGTTTTTTTAAAAATACATACTAGGCAAGAGCGGAAGGACGCAGAAAGTTGTGTGTGGTTAGTCAAACTTTGACCACGGTAAACGAGGAGCCTGAATGAGGTTCTTCTGGGCGCATAGGGTCGGTTTTCGTAACCTGATGGCGGCCACTTCAGCTGTTGCTAACAGGCGCTGGCCCAGTAGCTCAGGGTAGCTCGAGGGGACCTTATAAATCACACGAAATGCTTCAGCGGGGTCCACACGATGCTCTGAATCCACTGCATGCTCAAGGATGGCGTTGTCTATTATCCTAGCTTCATCTTTTGCCAACCATGCGGGAAGGTGCTCTCGTATTCTTTTGGAAAGGCGCCGACTCGTACGACCACTATAACCTGCTCCACAGGAGCAAGTGAATGAGTAGATGCACACCAAGACGGTCTGAGGTGGCAGCCTATTCTTTCCTTCTGCGCGTAAAATAGAATTAGTAGAGAACGATAAGCAAACCCTTGCTGTTTAAGAAGGCCCCAAACAGGAGGTCACATAAGTGACCGTGACTTCGAACACCTCCGGCCAGTCGGCACGCACATTCCTCGATGATATGGTTTACCTAAGATTTATAAGGAAGGCCTATCGGTTCGTCCGATTTTAGATATGCGGAACTGTCCGAACCATGTGATAGCTAAGTGGTTAGCAGAGAAACTCAAGCCCATACAACATCAGCCGGCACCACGCAGCTACCGAGATACCTTTCAATTCATTGATAATATTAAAGTCCTCAACGTTGACGGCATGATGATGTTCTCGCTAGACGATGCGCCACAGTGAAGTTTGTTAAATGAGTTCGTTTTACCTGGCTTATGATCTGAAAAACTCCGAGTGGTCGACCACCGTACCTCGACACATGCATTGATAGACTAGTGGGTCAGCGCGCAACCATTTCTCCATGAATAAATATTCGTTTTGCCACGGTAGAGACACCATTAAATTCCGGTTTGCTGAAGTGCTTATGACTCCGTCTGCTGAAGAACTGCACTATGCGTACGCGCACGTTTGTGTTTCGGATTCCAGATGGCGGTTAGCGTTGTGAACGATTTAGTCAGGGAGCAATTAGCCATAAACAGCGCTGTTTCTGTCTTACCACATCTGCCGTCAACCGTTGCAAAAAGTGCTTGGCGCGTGTAATTCTAGTTCCGGAGATTGATTTCTGTGATGAAGAAGAAGAAAGAAGAAGAATGAAGAAAGAAAGAAGAAGGGGGGTCGAGCACCGGAACATTTTGTTTATTGTCCTGAGCTTTCAGACTCGTGCAGGAGTCCCTCGCCAGAGATAGTACCAGCAACAGAACAAGCGACAGTTATAGGGCGTATAGGCCAATCATCGACCGACGGCGTAAGACTGGAGGTGACTGTGTAGGACTCTGTTCGCCAGTGGCTGCGAAGTTAAACTCGTGACCCATTTCGCAGGAGTGGGCGGCCACTTGTGATAATGTGTCGCCTCGTCGCACAGTCAGCTTATGTTCGTGTATGCGCGATCCGGTTTACGGGAAGGCAACGAACACCACACACCTTCTCAGTATTCACAGCAACCATCTGGTGGCTCACAAACGAGGCTGTGTGAGGGCGCTCTTCAAACTGATCCATACTCATTGCAGCAAACCGGAGGACAGAACGCGTGAGGCCCGTTATCTCCACGACCTGTTTGGGCAAAACAGCTATCCAAGGGCATTCATAGGTCGCTGCCTATGCGGTCGCCACCAGAGAACTCGAACATCAACGCCGCCGACGATATAGCATTCTCTGCCATACATCAAGGGCGTTTCAGAAGAGACCGAGCGCATTGCTGCGGAGGCAGGTGTTGGAATTGCACACCGCCTCAAAGCCACCGTGCGCAGTAGGGTCATGAAAAGTAAAGACCGGCTAGATCGCAGTTGGTAGCCAGGAATGGGAGCGGACGGCCACCTTAACCCTAACCCTAACATCAGCATTGAACGTTAACTCCAACGGCAACCCTAACCCAAGCCCTAACCGAAATCTTAAACATAGCCGTAGCCTCTAGGCATAGCCTTAACTGAAAAACCTTACCGTAATACTGAAACCTAATCGTACGCTCAAGCCCTAACCGTAACCCGAAAACCTAAGCCTAAATGCATAGCCCTAACCCGGAAATCGGTAACTATTAACCAGTACCCTTATCCTAACCTCAACCGTAAAAGGGAAGCCAGATGGGTCATATGTGATTATGGAGCTCCGCAAAATGGCCCTAGTGAACAAACCCCACAGCCACTTGTAATACGGGCCTGGCTACCAACTGCGATCTAGCCTAAAAGACCGATTAAAGCCTAAAGAGCAATCTGGAGTAGTGTATCACATCTCGTGTCAAAACTGTCCTTGCAACCCCACAGGCCGGGCCGGACAAAACCGTCGAACTAGGGAGATTACGAAAGCATGACGCTAATAAACCACGCCCGGAATACTGCTTGGTTTGAAGCCAACCGCGGCCATTCTGACGGCAACGGCCGCGATTTACTGACAGAAGATGGAAGACAAGCAAGTTGACTTTCCCTAAGTTCTTTCGCTTTAATATTACTTGTATGCAGTACTTAATGAAACTAAAACAAGAAATAACTTAATGCGTGCGTGACATAAATGCAAAAAACTGAAAAGAAGTCCAAAAGGGCAGAGATGGCGAAGGGGAGGGAGGAGTATGCTGGGTGGTCTGGGACGTCAGCCCAATGAGAGCGTCCACAGGGCCCTCAGTTTATTGTTTGCAGGATAAGAAGAGATCGGTTTACGATGGCGAGAAAAGATAGCGTCTGTCTCAGATCCTCTATCACCCGTTGACTGAGACCGTCGGCGGGCAGCAGACATCGTAGGCAGCTGGGGGCCCAGGCCTGACGCATTGACGGTCTCCAATGGGCAACGGCCTCGGTAATCAGGTTGGAGAGAATTTCCTGTGGGTGCGCCCTTACCTGAACACGCAGACCGTCTGGAAGGCGTAGAGCGAGATCCAGTTGCTCGACACGGTCATTCGTGGACGCTGGCATTGTTTTGGCACAAAAAGAGAGGAAAACATGCGAGTGTTAAATGTCACGGAAGCAAATAATACCTTCGATGCCTAGCTTTTCACTTTTGAGCGAATGAATTGTTTTGCTCCTGACGAGTGTTTTAAGTATTGAAGAAGCCATTCAATCCTCTGCATAGGTAAATTACGGTCTATGCCGAGAGAGCGCGGTAAGCATGGGGTGAGGGCCCCCAGGCATCTGCAGCATACAAAGAATACCTACTCATTTAAGTAGATTTAGGTCCGACAAGATTATTTCGATTCGGTGTTTCACCGTACAAGGTTGTGTTTTCTGTTGTAGACGGTCTGGTGCATTATCTACAATGCACTTAGCTCAGAGAGTTGAAAAGCGATCGTTGCAGACACCTACTGTTTATTTTTAAGTGTCCTCCTTAATTTCGGTTGCTATATGCATTAAAACTTTTCCGCCCGAAAAAAAAATTGGTAGGATCCCTGTTGGTAGCCCTCCCGGTACTGAAATCGCCCAGCTCCCTGTCATACGGGACCGGTGGTAATGGGGGATATACGGATGGGGCACTTGTGTGCAGGCGTCAATGACGTTTATAGTGCATGCCCCGAATTGATGCCCCTGCTAAAGTCGTAGCCAAAATTAAATATGGCGAAAAATGAAAGAGAGATATAAAAACGAACGTGGATACTGAGTACGGTCTGCGGAATGAATGCATCCTAGCTCCAGATTGGGTTGAGCGTTCCTGATTTTCCGAAAATAATAATTTATTGCCACTAAGGTCACATGTATGTTAGGAACTGAAGCAGCAGTTGTGTGCTAGACGCGAATGTTGTAGTAAGCAATGTGTAGAGCAATTAGCCGGGAGGGCTACCAACAGGAATCCTACCAACAAATTTATCGATTATTCATACTTATTTTGCCATTCCTCTATGCATACATAGGTCCCGCCCGTAAAAGCCCTATTACCACCTTTCCCGTAAAACAGGCATCTTTGGCTGGTCGTGTGTGTCTGGGGGCCTTCACCGAGAGAGGCACGACTGGCAACAAGCAGACTGAGATCACTGGGACGGGCGTTTCTGGCTTACTAGTCATCGTCAGTCAGCCATAGCCCAACCCGAGACCAGAACCCGGACTCGTAGATCATTGGGCAGTAGGTCATAAGTGGTACTATTAAATTGCAGACCCTTACTCCTATCGACCTGGAATATACGCTCGCCTACCTTGCTGGAGTATGCGACATGCTTGCCCATTTTGCATTGCAGGTCTAGTCTAGAACTCCGTGGACTAAAAGAAGGCTGACCTTGAGGGACAGTGGAAAGAAAAGTTTCGAGTAATTCGGACTGGCAAGTTAGCGATAGTTTAGATATCAAATAGGCAGAATGAACGTCTTCTTATTATAATACCAATAAAACCTTCAGTGCTTAAATAACGGCAGGACCTATTAGTTACTGTTGGGAGTGCCTACACTCCCAAAAACAAGAGCTAGCCAATCATTGGACGCCCCGAGCGTTTTCTCTACAGCGCTGTCATCGTAATCGTGACGCCTCTCCATTGGCTTTTCCTCTCGGGCCTGATCGATCTGAGTATTCGAATTATCGACCAGCTCGCCTGGAATGTTCTTCCCTAAGGGCATTGTGCCGAATGCCGGCGAACCACAGTAGGGCGTTATAAATATGCGTTACTGCCAGCTAATCTTGACTTGCAATTTCCTAATACACATTTTCGTGGCCGGTCGCGTTCTCATTCTCTGCCGCGTTGGTATTGGGGGCAAGAGTCGGGTACGCATACGCTCTCCAGTGTTCCAAGACAGCCTGGGTCATTGCACATACACTCAAGCCGTGCTACATCTGTCTCCTGGAAGTCAACCAGTCTTCCGTTCAAAGCGACCAGTCCCATATGCAGCGCTACCACTTGTCGAGGCTAAACTGAAGCGTCTAGAGGAACTGGGAGTTCTAGTTCCTGTACCCTACTCCGCCTGGGCCGCTCCAATCGTTGTGGTTATGAAGCCCAATGGCTCGATTCGCATTGGTGCTGACTTCTCCACCGGTCTCAATGCCCCACTGACGCCGAACTGCCATCCACTGCCGGTTCCGGCTGATTTTTTCACCCTGCTGAATGGTGGCACTTGCTTTGTCAAGTTTGATCTCACTGATGCGTGTCTGCAGATCGAGGTCGCCCCAGAGTCGCGCGAATTGTTGACCATTAACACCCACTGCGGTCTGTTCCAATGTTCCAGAATGCCCTTCGGTGTCAAGACCGCCCCGGCCCTATTTAAACAGACGACGAACACAATGCTCTCCGGCATCCCTAGCACAGCTGGTTACCTGGACGACATCATCATCGTGGGTCGCTCCCCTTCCGAGCTGCAAGACCGAGTGTGCACAATACTCGAACGCGTGTAAGAATATGGCTTCCGCCTGCGGGCCGACAAGTGCCAATTCTTCCTCGACTCAATCAAGTACCTCGGATTCGTTTTTGACGTCACTGGCCGCCATCCAGATCCTGAAAACATTCGGGCCATCCAAGGGATGCCTGTCCCCAAGAATGTATCGCAATTTCGTTCGTTCCTTGGCCTGATCAGCTACTATAGCGGACTTCTTACCATCTATGCATGACGTACGGGCCCCGCTCAACCGACCGTTGCAGAAGGATGCTCCCTGGTGCTGGTTCGCGGACTGTGAAAAGGCCTTTGCCCAACTAAAGTCAATGCTGAGTTCAGATCTGCTGCTCACGTACTACGACCCGACGCTGCCGATCGTTGTTGCTACATATGCTTTCAACCACGGAGTTGGTGCCGTCATCTCACATACTTTTCCCGACGGGTCTGCAAAGGCGATCATGCATGCATCTCGCACGCTAACTCCTGCGGAGAAGAACTAAGGGCAGATAGAGAAAGAGACTATAGCCCTGGTGTTTGCCGTCAAGAAGTTTCACAAACTGTTGTATGGCCGTCACCTCACGTTGTTGACGGACCACAAACCATTGCTGACAATCTTCGGTTAGAAGAAGGGCATTCCCGCCTTCTTAACCCTAATCCGTACTAATCAGGCCGTTACACTCTTGCCTCCGGAAGCGAGAAATCTCATCTGCTTGAAGTGAAATGAGAAGTAAAGAAATAATCAAGTCAATTCCTTGGAATATACCTTAAGATGCTTTCGACTGTCTCTAGAATGACATGCGGTCATGAATCCAGGAAACTGAAATTATTGCATGAAATATTCCAATCCAAATAGGATTGTATACGTCTCCAGAGATCCCTTGACTAATGGAGTCATTTTTTTCAAATCTAGCTTTAGCGGATTGTTAACAAAGCGCAGTGAAGGTAATTCATACGATACATGGTTCTAGTGAGTTCACTTTCAGCTGCGAGAAGGCCGAACGAATGGGTCAGTAAAAGATCTGACAACACCTTAATTCCATGACTGATCGGGAAATAAATACCGAAGTTACGCGGCCAATGGAACCTAGATACTCTACATACAACGGTCCATTTCTCCATACAGACCAGAATAAACTATGCCCACGAAGGTAAACCTCTGTATGGTGGCATGAAGACACTTTTGCCAAGTTTCAGGATGTTTTAGTGCGAATGAGGTTTTAACCTGGAGATCCGTTCAATATAAAATGTGAACAATATAATTACCTGACAGACGTATCTGTTCTCCCTTACCACGTGTCCAATTGATCTCCGTTTCTCCGCTCTTCAGTACAACTGACAGTCATCATTAGTTAACTAGATTTCACAAGTACATATATCAACACACGATCCAGAGTCTACCGACATCTGATTGTTGTCCCTCACCCAACCGATGCCCTGTTCATGTTAGCGCCACTGATTTGTCTCTATTTACGGAATCAGGCATTGCCAAATTACAAGTCATTGGAGCAATTCCACCGTAAAACTTGTTCGCACAGTCTAGGCGGCCTTTCCACTAGTTGGGGTCTTTTTCGGCAGAAAATAGGCTTTGATGCATTTACGTTAGCCGCACTGGTCTACCTGATGATGGCTAACAAGCTGGAAAATGCCATCTCAGTCACCCTTGTCTTTTTTCGGAATTTTTTCAGCTCACCGTCCATGTTAAGGGTGTAGCGGGAAGCCATCATAACCGGTCTGGCGTCATCGCTCAAGACCTCGCTGTCTCAGGGTCATTCACCCCTTGAAGCCAGCCGTGCCAGACGCGCTGACCTGAAGTCACACGACCAACAACTCGGGCATACCGGCGTCCGCACAGCCGCAGCTGCCCATGTGGCCACTTGAACGCTCCCCCCCCCCCTGCAACCGCAACCTAAGCCACTTGGACACCACCACCCCTCGGCAAATGCAACACACGCTGACTGGCCACCACTTGTGCTTCGCCCACAAGCCTACAAAAGCGGCTGCCACCACTATCTTCGGGACTCTCAGGCCTGACTGGACGCAGTCAACACCAGCCCTGGCATCGCCAGTGGCCACTGCCGCCTGAGAGGACAACTCCGGGTTTTGGGCACAATAAAGCCCTCCTTCAGGTCCCTTCTGTCTCTCTCCCTACGACTTGGGATTCGACCTGGTGTTTGTAGCGCTCAGAGCACTTACTCTAGCCGCTTGGTCATTCCGCCTGCCGCAACAAGGAACAAACTCGTCACATTTCTCTTTGGGGTTCGATCTTGAGCCCCGTAGGCTGTCGCATTACGAGCAGTACTACATGCAAATAAGTAGTACCGACAAGGGCGTGGGAGACCTGAATGGCCATTTCCAGTTTGTTAGGTGTCATCAGTCAGTCCTAACCACCCCCAGGAAGCCGTGGTGCTGCCTGGAACGGATGGCCCATGCCTACGCCGACGGGTTGTAACCTAGGGACACACAGTGCCGTCCGCTGAAGTCTCAGGCGTTGTCTACAACAGAAGTTACGGTGGGGGTAATCGAGCATGACTGCCACCTGAGTACCTGATTTTAATAGGTGGCATGCTCAGTCGAGGCTCAAACAAGCTTACGTTTAGTCTGTGTGCTGGGTCGTGCTATGCCGGGCAGTGGTGCATATTTTGACAGGGTGGTCCCCCCCGGAGTCGGTGCCGATGCGAGTTTCGCTGGTTGAGGCAGAGGAGCAACAGGAGGGTTAGCGGCAGGCCGAAGTGTGGGATTCCGAGGCTGATCCGTCTGGCCTCTCGGCTGTCGTCGGGCCGACAACTTCCCTTTCGTCCGGTCGCTGGTGGCTGTGGGACTGCCGGTGGACTGCCTGGAGGAGAGAAGGCGGGCGTCGCGAGATGCGATGGCGTTCACAGACTGCCACTTCCACTGATCTGCCAAAAGACAAGAGGCAACAGGATAGGGGGGGGGGAGGAAGGATAGGTGGAAATCAAACGTGATTCGAGCGAGAGTAGATGCGGACAAAAATCAGATTAGTCCAAGCGGGGCAACTAGGGTAAACGAGTAAGAAGAATGCCCTCCCAGCAGCGAAAGGCCACAAAGCAGGTTAAAGTCAACATGCTCCGACACAGTCGCGCGATAACGGGCATAAAAGTCGCCCGGCGGATGGTGAGAAACCGGTGGACGAACGGTCCCTACAACACGGACTGCCAGCCAACGACAAACCTATCAAAGGCCAAGCGGCACCAACGCGTAAAGAAGTGCGGGCTCCACTTCGGGGTGCCGCAATGAAATGACGCGGAGAGGCCAATGACTACGCTGATTTTGCTACAACTACGACGGCAACGGTGAGGTACAGAGGCCATTCGCGTCCGCCCGTGGCACGCCATAGAGAGAGCGGAAGTTTGTAGGTCGGGCAGGGTTATCACACGGGGGCGGGCCAGTTGAAAAGGCCAACTAAGGTTGGCGCAGGCGTAATGTCTGACGAAGTTGCAAAGCCTCTCTACGCGCGCCACACACGACCTGCCCCCCACAGAAGTTACTAGGCGTTCTCAGATCTCACATGTGTGAGGGTGTCATTAAGACGAGAAGGAGCTACTCCGGCTCGAATCTCAATTCTGAGGAGGATCGAATTGTACCGTCGGGAGCCTTCCCACTTAGTACCTCCCAGCTCTTTGCGCGTCCTTATAGCTTCAAGCGTGTCAGAATGCGCCAGTTGACTCTCCGAGATTCTCTGCGGACTAGTGACTAGATATGGCCAATCGGGTGACGCTGTGTGATAGCCTACTTGTAGTGCGCGCTTGTACTCTTAGGACTGACCATGTGGTAGGCCCGATGAGCCATTATGAGGGCAAAATCGAAGTGGGGCAGGCGTTATGGGATATGCGTACCTACAACATATGCCAGCATTCGGAGTGCAGTAGGAGGCCCAGTTACCGGCTCACGTCTCGCCCACTAGGATCCCAGGTGTATCCAATATTTGTTGTTTTTTAAAAATATTATTCAAGTGTTTATTGGTGGACCAGCGGTGTGATGGTACGCGTGGATGCGTGCCATGTCGGCAAGCTGCGGCCTCCCTCGCTTCCGGTCCAGTTGGGGGGAGAGTGAAATAGATGCTGCGCAAGTCTACTACCATGTAAAGGTATCCAGGCGCAAGTCGCCGTCCCTGCTTTCACCCCGTGAACCTCGCTGAAATCGACGGCAGAACTGTCGCAATGCGTGCCAAAAGCATGTTCAGCAATAATTACTGGTTTGCGCAGACACGGCGCATCAATAAGAACGCGTTCCGGGAACAGTCTGGCCCTCATTTGGCCCAGCGCATCTGGAGAGCAGGCAATCAGGTAACGAGCAGTGATGGCGTCTTCATTGGCATTGAATAAATACTACATATAATAGTAATGTATAATATAAAAGGCAATGTCGATATATCGGGCATACTTAAATTTTAAATGGTTTTCACGCTTTCTACACGTCTGACGACGATCTGTTCATTTTCCCAAAGGACTCATTTTTCTACGAATTATATTTCTTGGGATGCCCATCTTCCAGTACATACTATATATATATATTTCGGTTCTGACCCTAAAAAGTAATGTCCCGAAGATTAACTCCAAGTCCTGCACTGAGTAATTCCTGAAATTACTCACTTGATAAATAAATAAATAAATATATATATCAATCAGGAATGGGCGCACACCGATCTATTGGCTTCATGAAGCAAACAAGCTCCGTATGTGTGGCAAAGGTCACGAACAGGCAACCAAATTACCAGGTCGAAGTCGGCCAAGTCATAATCTAGCAAGGAGGGACGACAGAGAATGCGGGTAGATTGATACAGTACTGTTTCGGGCATATTGTGCCTTCATTCAGCCAATCATAATCCTGACCACCAGCAGCTGGGACCAGAAACAGACAACATGTGCACAGACGCATCTGGCGCAGTTGGTCCACCACTGGGCTCTACCAGAAGGGTCATAAGCACTTCATCGAACCGAAGTTCATCAGTGCCTCGCCACCTGTCATTGTCTGTCGCTGCAGATCGGGTATTTATTCAATCAGGAATAGGCGCACACCGATCTATTGGCTTCACGAAACAAACAAGCTCCGTATGGGTGGCAAACGTCACGAGCAGGCAACCAATTATCAGGCCAAAGTCGGCCAAGTCATAATAGTTAGGACTATGATTGGCTGAATGAAGCCACAATACGCCCGAAACAGTACTGTGTCAATCTACCCGCATCTTCTGTCGTCCCTTCTCGCTGCTGTTATGATTTGGCCGACTTCGGCCAGGTAATCGGTTGCCTGTTCGTGACCTTTGCCACACATACGGAGCTTGTTTGCTTCGTGAAACCAATAGAAGGATGTGCGCCCATTCCTGATTGAATATATATGTAAGCCATTTCTGGCTTATTAGCCGTCGTCAATCAGCCATACCCAAGCCCGAAGTGTGGGACACCCGAGCCTTAGTAATACCATTCTGCCTATATATCATGCGCCACTGTGCGGCTGCTGGTTGGGCTCGAGAGAGAGCCCGTAAGGCACAACGGAACGAGTGAGTTCCGTATGAACGATCGGTGAGCGCCCCCTACCATTGTATATTCCCGATCGAAAATCGACAGAGCAACGGGCTCGTGGCCCGGTGGGTAGAGGCGTGGACTTCTAAACCAACAGGTTGCGAGTTCGAGGCTCGGGTGTTCCACACTTCGGGTTTGGGTATGGCTGGCTGACGACGGCTAATAAGCCAGAAATGGCCATTCCGGTCTCCCTTGTCTTTGTCGGTAATACCATTCTGCTTACAAATTCTGTTAATTGCCACATTTAATACGGAATACCTACTGCCAGGGCTACCGGCATTAATTGATAACCGTTGAGAACAGTGAATAGGCCAACCGTGACCACCTTATCCGCATTTGGTCACTAAGTAACACTAAGTTTAAGGATATGGTACTTGCGCCCCTGGGAAGACTACGATCCTAACGCCAACGACCGCCATGCCTGTAATGCGTAAGCTTAACCCAAACCGTAACACTAAGCCCTAACCGGAAAACCGCAGGCCTAAGTCATAAACCCTAACCCTAGCCTCAACCCTGAATCCAAACCATTATCCCAGCCTGGTAACCGTAGCCCTAAGAATAAATCAATTTTTTGCTTTTTAATTTCCCCAGAAATTAACTGCCAACTTGGAAAGAATCAGTTTAAACCAAGGTCTAAAGGTGCAGATCGAAATTTTATGTGTGAATATTTGGGTCGAAGTCCATCAACCACAGCGGGATAAATGCTTAATGTCCATTAACTGCCAACCGGCAGCTAGTAGTATATTCTAGTTTCAGCTTCAGTTTATTAAGAGAAATATAGGCGAGCGCCTTTGAACTCCCTATTGGTTACAAGTCGTCGGAAAAAAACATTGATAGTGGGAAGGAGAAAAAAGGGGTTTTGTACATAATCGCTGACAGCTAGTCAAAAAATAGTAATCAATAACGGTTACTAACAAGTTACAAGTAGTATAAACAAGTTTAAGTTGGTACCGGTTATGTGAGTGGATGCAAGGCTGGTAACTGGGAGGCTTGATGCGCGTCAAGTCTAAACTTATAAGATACCATACTACCATACTCTAGACTGGAGTATCTACTAGAAAAAACAGGGGAGGCAGGGGGACCCACTGCTGAGCCGAACTCCGCGCAACTGAGCCGCACAGCAGCAGAAAATCGGCCAGCACCTGCGCTACTGGTATGGTATCTTGTAACACTAAAATAAATCAACTTCTCACACAGAAATTCGCCTTTAGCCTGATAGGGCAACTTCAACGTCAGTTACGCTAACGAAGGTCAAAATCGACGCATCACGTTACTCCTCCCAGGACCTATTGCTGGGCGAACCGTTATGAACCATAAGACTAAATGTGGATTTCTGAACAACAATCAAGGGGGGGGGCTGCGTAAAACACACTCGACTTTTTCAACATGTTTATCTGGGCGAATATAGTATCTGTTTTGCTTGGGTAAATTACTTCGATTGCAAAGAGTCAAGCCCAAGTGAAATTGCAATTGCTCTGTTGGCTAAAAAATGTACCTTGATTTGAAACCCAGTGATAAACTCACTGACATATCTTACTTTAAAGTGTCGAAGAGAAGTTCGAAGGCCAATTAAAATTTTCCGACAAGAATGAGCGCAAACTCCGTTAAGTGGTTCTCCAGAAGAGTGTAGCCCCGGTTCCTGGTGAAGGGACTGCAGACAGGTAAAAACACCTACCTAGACAAGAAGGCGGCTGGACGAAGGCGCCTGATTTTTACAAAATGGTGTCTACTGATTTACCAAGTGCGTAAAACATCCCCTCGCGCTGAACGTCACGTTCCATTTTTTTCTACGTAATAACTTGAGCCTTTTTGAGTTTTTACAATACCACATGAAAGGGCATTTAGAGGCGCCGTATATTCGTTCAATAATGCCGTGAGGTTCTCAATGCAGTGGAACTAATCGCATCCATGTTGCGGATTTCCGTTCACGTGGATGAGATATGACAACTGACGATCGAAACGGTGGTCGGTCGTGCTGAGCTGGGATTCCGACGGCTCGAAAGGCGGCGACTGCCAATTTTCTCAAGTTAGATGTCTTCGAAGCACTAATAGCTTAGCCTAGGGTTCAACACTAAAGATGCATGCTGGACAATTGACACCTAGGCATGTGACCTAGATTGTTCTTCCCTCTGTATTCTCGCTCGCTGGGGTAGGCAGTGCGCCATAGTGAAATTCGTCAAAATCCTGCTCTGCAATTGACTGAACACATTCCTTTTTTCGCTTCTCTCTAGGTTTGTGTTTCAAAAAACACAAACTACTAATCATGAAATAAGTAACATCAGCGTGGGCGCTGTATATGAGACTGATCAGTCCCACAGCAGAACGGAGCACGCGTGTTTCCTTCCATAGTCAAAACAGATCGGTTAAAGTTCGTCTAACGCTAATGTCAACCCCACCGACACCAGAACACGGAGTGGGAACCCGTGGCTCAATTAAACAGCAGTAGAACATAGACCAAAGCCCGGGTGGTCTCAATCTGGAGCACGCATGAGCAACAACGGCGAATAATTCCCACAAGGATATTACTGTTTTCTTTGGTTTTTTCGGCAAATCTTTCGATGAAGATGGTGTTTTGGTCTTGATCGGGGAAGTACCTTCAGTAAGAACTAACCTGGTGCGCATAATTTCGGCGGCTTGTTTGGAGCATCACCCTGTGGGGAGGGGACTTCACTTGTAAGTTGTTTACGAAGTTTCCTGTAAAAAAACAAAAATACAAAACTCGCCCTCAACTATACATAATTTCAAAATTTGCATAGACTTTTTAGAGGTAAGTGTTGATTCGCCTGCTGATAAAAATGTTCTGTCGGATTGCTAAAATCTTATCGGATGGCCGTATGCCTGTCTGGCGCGTATAATGAAGCTGCGAAACACCGATTACTATGAAGGAGGGTATGTTATTGTTTAGCGAAACCATGAATAGATATGATATTGGCATCCGAACCAGAAAGATCGTAAAATAGGTAGTGTTTTGCTGTTAGAAGAAGTATTCAAATATTCAAAGGCCACATCAATGTTCTCGACTGAATTCTCACGTCCTGGTATCCAATTAAATGTGTATTTGTCATTTAACCATATAAGGCGCACACTATGAAGATCGATTACACAAATAAAATCCAATGGCCAAAAAGCCTTCGCGTCCACGAAGTTTATCGAGGTTTGAGCAGTAAGTTAGCGACTCTGAAACGGCCAAATTTTTCGAATATTTGAGAACTGGAATCCTACTGTTTACCTTTCTTTTTCAAGAGCATAACCAAAACGGAAGGTTGTAACTAAGGGGAGATCAACTCGACTTGCATGTCTACAAAGGTTTCTCGGGGCATCCTATTGATTCGACAGGCATGCGTGGACACAGACAGCGTGAATTAGACGCATACTCTGCGGCAAACCACATAACACAGAGATGGATATAAGCGGAGGTTGATTGTCCGTTATCTTGTTTTTGCTATGGTGTTCTATTCGACCAACAAAAGCGCGGTTCCTTAGAGAATGAAAGTCGACTTCTTAATTTAAAGACGACATAATACTTATCCACAAGGACTACTTTGCGAGCGTACTGTAAACAGAACTAGTGTGTATGTGACAAATTTGGCACCGTTAACTGCACTCTATGACTACCAAACAATTCGCGGATGACGATACTTTACGTCTGGAACCTCGCCTATTCCGTCATCGTCCTGCCGGAAGTTTCTTCCAGAAAGCGAAATTCACTGTTTATGCCATTATCATTAGCTTAAAGGAAATTAACCTGAAATGGAGCGGCGGAAAGACGAAAGGGGTGGTTGAAAGTCTCATGAGGAAAATCGTCCAATTCCCCACTGGGAGAAAAGTACATTTTTGCTGGGGTCCCTCAACATTACTCGTGAGCCGGTTTCGGAATAATATTGGAATAAAACTCGCGCACAAGACGCTCAGCCTACTTTGGAATTGACTATGGTCTGGCTTTGAAATTTAGCGGAAAGACAATGTTTTAATTTATAATTTTACTGACAGATCCGTCCGGTAACAATACAGCTAAAATGACAGAAGAACAAGTTACTTGATTATTTGCGTCTAAAGAAAAAACAACGATTTCGGTTCACGGATCAGACCATGAAAATTAAACTTCTCTCCCATTTGGGAGCATCGCCTGCTGGCGATCCAAACAAAAACCACCGCATCTGACGGTCTAACAACGTACTTCGAGATCTTGACTCGAGTTGACTCGCCACACCCGCTCTCGACCCGCTGTCTGAATTGGCATCGTAAGTAAGAAGGCACGTCAAAACGCCCGCAGATATAACTAACTCAGATCTAGAAATAATTTTTGTCTGACGATTTTTGGTTGCCGGATCTAGAATGCCTGATAGACGACGTTTCTGATGACTCGGCTACGATCGAGGCGGGTTGGCGGCGATGGTTCTTGCTATCGTGAATTCCTGAATACAAAAAATCGGCTCCAGTGCAGGTTAGAAATATTTCTGCAGGATTAATCCTGCTAGAAAGAGTTTTGTCGAAAAACGCGTACCGGCGACCATTAACTATTATTTTTAAGTCTTGACAGAACCTAGATAAGTCGAAAAGCTGGAAGCCTTGCGCTGTTTAGTGGGTCGATTCATATGGGCACATATGTGACCATGGAGATGCAAATTCAAGACGAAAATGACGCGACCTTGCCACGGTTCGGCTGACAAGATGTCGTTGTGAAAAGTCAGCTTCATGCTAAAAGGTAGGTGGTTAGTTACGTCACGTAGCTCATTTTATCGTTTTTATGACGCCGTAGACAAAAAAATATTTTCGATGTGGACGAATTACTTAGGCAACTGCTTATGTGCCCAGTCGACGCAAGAAGATTTTATCAAGAATAGTAAGCGTGTTGAAACAGCAAGTGTTTTAATATAAAAATATATCCGGTTGTTGCTTCCTAGCTTACGTTTTTTCCATTCACGTAAAGCATCAAAGTCTTCTAAGCGAGAAACCAAAAGGTAACAATTACCAACCGAAAAACCTAAGTGTAAATAGTGCCATGGTACGACTCTCCTTAGGTTGGGCAAAATCTCCAATAGCCCTATTTTATCATTCACAGTTCACAACCAGGCTCACAAACTATTCTGCAAATAACAGAACCCTCGCGGCAATCCTTCGACTAAGTTATTTGTCCGCATTTGCAGCCGGCTGCGTTTTCTATATTGTCGACGCTAACCTCCCAATAGTGACACCTTTATGCCTGTTCGATTCCAAAGTATTATTACTTGTTATTATTGTACTCTTAAACTGTCAAAAAAGTAAGTGGACAGCAAGTTGGCGTGTCTTATGTATGGAGCCTAGTGACGTTTACCTATTCCGACCGTTTTGGGTTATTACCTATTTAGTGGCAGCGTTTCAGTTTGATCCAATTTTTCCTCCTATGGACTTTCCCGTTCGCTTATTAGGTTTTTTCTCGTATACACTTCATCTGCCTCTGTAAAATTCTGGCCCAGTCTGGACTATTGCTGACAGTGTTGTGCCTTGCGCGACTCACATCCCACAATCCCTCCTGACTGCCGCCTAAGGGGCGTTTCTCTCTCAATCATGCCAAGTAGGCCCAGACACCTGTAGACTCAACTGGATGATGTTTGTGATAGATTCACTGATTGTCAGATTCTGGCCGAGTGTTATCTTCTGCCCTTGCTATCCAAACGTCGAATAAACTATCGTCGGTATCATTTTTGACCTTCCACAAATCTTCTCTCAGCCCTACAAAAATTTGAACATCTTGGAATCTGTTCATCACACCTGGACGCGCATGGTATATTCAATAGTTTGTAGTTTCAGCGTCAGCCACACGGTCGGGGACTCTTCGTTTTCCACATGTCGAACAGCTCGAAGGACTGCTGGAGTTGCTAGTAGGCTAAAGATCGGCTGTATAAATATGGTTCCATGTAGTTCAATGTAGTACCCTCCACTTTTGCGCGCCAGACCAGACATTCCTCACTAGCAGTCACTGGCATTCATGGTTTGACTTTAGTCATCGTGTTCGCCAACGCAGTTGCCACTCGTTTCTTCCTGCAACCTCTTCACATGCACCTATGCTTCCCTCTTCACAAATGCAACCTACCTGTGTTGTAAGAGCCTACACCAAGTTTTTTCTACCACAGCTAACTGCGCTACCGTACACTCTCTGTTGGTAACATCAAATCCTCGTATTTTCGGACCTCTTCTCTGATCATCAGCTCACTGCTGGCTCCAATGATCCCGCAGTCGTTTTCACTCATATTCCAGTAATCCTCACGGTCAATGTTCTTAACATTACCCTATCAACCAAGCCGGCGTCGACTGAGAACCTTCTGGACCATCAATAAATTCCATCGTCTACATCCAGTTCCCAAGGATCACTTCAATTCCATTTCTGATGGTGGTCATCTAGGCTGGAAAACCAATCAGCCGTTCCCAAATAGCGAAACAAGGAATCGAAACCGATCCCGTCCATCATAAAGCTAAAAACCGCGGCCGCTATCCATTTGTTATCAGTCGGATCCAAGCTGAATAATTTTGAACCTCCACCCTCTGGGCACGGTAAGGCCAGCCAACACTCTATGGGTCGTCCCGGCTATTCTTGGTAAGACAAAGAGCTGAAACTTGAGGTTATGCATCGATTACGGTCATCGTACACGACATTCATGAGTTCGTTAATCGATAACATCATCGATGCATTCACCTACGCTTGCCGCCACTTGGCAGAGGTAATTTAGCTCGTCCTCCGAGACCTATCATCCAGGGCCAGCCTCGTGTATCAAATCAATATTCACGCAAAGTTCGTCGGCAACTCGCGCAACAACCCGACTTAATTGCTCCAGAAGTGGTTTACCCCCGGTCTCAGTTACAGGAGCTTTCTTTTATCCAACGGTAGACAACTTACTTTGGACACGTAGCATCCGGAAATTTATGGTTCCGGCGTTTAGTAGATAGGTCCTGCAACTGAATACGCGGCTCGTCCACTACACGTATACTATAAACCATTGCGACTTCCGGAGTTATGTGCTTCCTTTCAAAACCTCATCTGCGTATTTATATCTGTAATATATTTCCCGCCCAAGTTAAACGACTAGTTTTTGTAATTATATTCGTGGAAAACAATCGCCACCTTTTTGTACAATCTGTCCTCGCAAAAGTGATGCCGACAAGGATTCGCGAAAATTCCGTTAGAGATGCCAGAATGATGTCGACTTCACAGCGAGGGAATCATTATGCTTCACTGCTCAACGCGTCCCAAATAACCATCACCTCATAGGCTGATTTTGGACAACTTAACGTCCGGCTGTGATACACTATACTTAAGGATGCTTAAAGGTCGAAGTCTTGCGCGTTGGGTGTCCGTGTTAATGAAGGCGAGCCCTGCCAGCACCAGCCGCACTTGGCCGAGGCAAATATGGCGTGGCCAAGTGCGGCTATGGTGCGGCCAGGTGTGGCCAAATGGTCTGGCTATGGTCTGGCCATCAACACATTGGCCGCACTTGGCCACACCTTGGAAAAAATTTTGCGGGCGGACTTTTTATCTTTCTTTTCCATTCATCGCGGCCTCGATTTTTGTCCATAAACGCCAACCATGACGAACGGTCGCTTAACGTAAAACCCCGAAAGGAGTCACAGCTAACCTCCACGTCCCAAGCAAGATAGGCAACGGCGGCAAGTGGCCGACTACAGGGCAAATGCGGATACCGAAGATGCTAAAGTCGGAAGGCAGTATTGTGGAAGGACGATTTATTGAATACGTAAGTCAAAAAATGTAAATATACAAAGTCTGTCTTGGATCATGGGGGTTTCAGCGACCTTCGTATCCAGGATGAGAAGTCACTTCCACCGGCCATTGGTAGTTCCTCCACAAAAAAACTTTCGTAAGACAAACGTAATGCAGGCGCAACGGAAGTAATGATAAACTGTATCTAATACGTACGATTTTAATAGTAAAAATCACATGAAGTAAATAGCATGCTGCGTAGGATTGGCAATTCGATAAATTTGCTTACTGGTGCTTTGGAGGGGGATAACTGTGGACACGTGGCGGCAGGTATGGTAATTTCTGTAGTCTAAATAAATGTGGATGAAAATCCCGAAAGTTTGAACCTGACGAATGTTCCGCCGACGTGTCGATCTTCCTCCGTACCGGTCCTGTGATCCATGAAACCAATTGATTGCTGTCCGTCGAATTATCTCTTTAATGCAGTTGCCAAAACAGGGATGTTGGGCAATGGCATCTGCGCGTGAAAATAATCAAAAATTGGACTTACCTTTAAGGACAGAAAAAAGCGGACAGGCCATGAAGGACTTCTACTCCTTGGATCCGCCCGCCCAGCAGAAGTTGTGGCATAAGGGCGGGCCCAATAGAACCTTCAGTAGATTTCTGAGGAAGTCTGCCGCATTTCGACCACCTACCATGGCCAGTTGCCGGATCTGAAAACAGTCATGTAGATGTGCACATACCGCCTCGTTTGCAAAACCGTCTTCTACGCTGAGCCGAAGAAGAAAGTTTTCGTATGCCTCCTCGGTACACAGCGGTCAATGTGCAGTTGAACGTGCACTTCAGAAATGCCCGTTAGTGGGCAAAGGCGCAATTCGTCGAGTAGGCCGCGTTCGAGACCCAGGTGAACGTATTTTGTTCTCTTCAAGGACTTGCTAACACAAGTTCGAGGCGTCTGCAGTAGCGTCCTTGGGTCGTTGGGCAGCTCCGGATGATAGTGCCGCAGCACCTGAAACAAATCCTTTGCTGTGGTCAACGACAATTTCGCCCTCAAACAGAATTCGTGCAAAGCCGTCGTCAAGCATCTGCCTCCCACAGTGTCCACGGTCCCAGCCGCTACGGGCAATCCTATGTATTCCAGTAAATGAAGCACATAAACCTCCTACCCGTTGAAACTTCCGGCATTAGTTCGGACATTTGCAATTCCGGTGACTCATTTGCAACCAAAAACGTTGATGCGATGGGCTGCTCCGCCATAGCAGCATAATATGCCCGCCTCTGGCGAAAGAGCCGCTTGTATATAGTGCTTCGGTGAAAGCCGTAATACTTACGCTTCATGGAAACGAATAACTACTCAACGACAACAAATATTTGTACTTTCAACATTGTTCGCAAAATCATAAGTGAAATTATGCCAATACATATGTTACTACACCTTGATAAGCATAACGAATACCCTAAATGGCATACCTTGGAATGGACGTCGAATTACTTGTCAATATGTTATAAACAATCACAGGACGAGAGAACCGCAACGCTTACCGCAGACACAGCAAAAAATCAATGGCGTCACATTGGCCCACCTAAACAAAGCCCCTTAATCAGCTTATTTCGGGACATAACCACTGCTCACAATATGAAGACTCCTGGTATTTTATGAGTGATATAGGATATATCTTGACTAATTTAGCACTTCGCAATGCAGAAGTGGTCACCTTCACGATTGGGAGGTCCTCCAACATTTCTTCAAATAAGGCGTGACCATGGCCGCGCTTGGCCACGCCTACAAGGTGTGGCCTGGTGTTGGCAGGGAGATCATTGATGTAAAGGCCTTTGAACTCATCCATGATGCTCTGATCTCACCAACCAATCTCCTTTATTCTGACGTGTTTGCAGTGAGATCAAGCTATTAAACTAGAATCTCCGTTCGTCATAACTTCTTTCCCTATCTTGTTCTGTCAGTATTCGCCGGTTTATTCCTGGCCAGAAATCTCCTAAGAACTGTCTTATGCTGCAACTTGTCGTTCAGTGACCTATTTTAACTACGCTGATCAACAGACTCTAACTGAGGATGCTAGACCCCTTTTTTGTAAACAATGAATGTCGGTATCTACGGCGCATTACTGTTTTGTTTTTGTTTACTGTTTTCTTAAATAAAATTTAATAGTCAAGTACATCTAACGCCGCGCAATGTATGAAATCGTCATGTGTGTTTTATCTGGCATAG